CTGCAGAATGGCACGCAGATTTGCAGTGTTACGAATTTCGTCACGTACTTGTCAATGGCATTAAGGGGTTTCAGAGTTCTGCGTCGTGCATCAACACTAGTGAACAAATAGTTACTGCAATGTCGATTGTAACAGGAGGTCGGCACCGACTGGGCAGAAATGGACAGGGTTGAGCAGTGACGGGAAGGCGCATAATGAAGTGCGTCTCCTTTTGGGATGATAGAAGTGACTAATGAATAGTTGGAGTGCATTTAAACAACTAATTTTTATGAGTACTCAAATTCTGACATCCACTTGACCTATTGGCCAATCTGCAGGTGGTCCGCTTGATTACTCCGTTGGTTATTTGATCGAAAACTGCTGTCTACCAGCTGACAAGCAAATGGCGCAAAAATTCTTCCTTAGAAGCGCGTGCACTGAACTGATACCTGTCATCGGAAAAGGAGGCGTCCCAGAGAAGGGAGTCGACGAGCAGACGAAAGGAATAGGAGGAATACAGGTGTTAAGAAAGGAATGCCATCGATCATTACATGCACGTTCCCTGATACACACATCTATCAACTCATAGGCATGATTCGCGATGCCACAGAAAGTCATTCGAGAGGCAAAAGTTAACAAGTAGTTGCTGTTTCAAGTAGCCCTGGTACACATTTCATTTAACTGTAGACCCGTAACAATCACAGTCACATCCACATCCGTCTCCACCCACTCCCGCTCCTGCCGCACCCACACCCACATTACCACCGACATACCTCCCCTACACGGAACCACAGCCACAGTTGTAGCAAGAGTGAGAGCCAGAATGAGGAAGAACTTGCGTCGTCTTGGCCATGATGAAATTCCAAGAGCTCTAAGGAGTGGCGGTGCCATTATCAGTTGATAACTAGGAGTTTAAAAGTGGTAAATCAGTTGGCCTCTATAAATTATCTGATTTCACCATTTCCTTCTGCATGCTTTCCATAATCTTGTCTGGAAGAAGAAAATTTTTTCTTTTTCCCACAAATTTGCCTAAATATGACAATTCAAAACCCGCAAAATGGCGTCAGTTCCCAAAGTAAATCAACAAAAAGGATTTGCTATCTCTCTCTCTTTTTATCTGCTACTCCAGCTTCTTTGTCCAACAGGAAAGTCGTATGACAATGTTGGAAGGGGTCCCAAGAGGGGACAGATCATGGCGGCTAATTTGGGGTATGAATGGTGGAGGAGAGCCGGGTCTAATGCATTCACAACCCTGCCAAGCCCACGGACACATATCTCTCTATTTATAAATGCAGTAATGTAGTTTCCTTTAATTTCTTTCTGTGGATCATCCAAATGTGATTAACAAAATGTTAACAAGTCATCCCATGCTCAAACCAGGTGTCGTATTACAACATTTCATGAAGATCGTCGAAGTGGAATAAGTTTTAAGCTCCTTCCTCTTTACTTATGAAAACTGGTAGCCGTAAGACGCATTCTACCTAGCCTCCATGCCACAGATGTGTAAAATGTTTTTTTTTCTATCAATTTGAAGCTAGTCTGCCATTACACCGAATCATGTACAGCGGGCGGATTGATTGCTTTTAAAGCAGTAGAGGAGATTTGGGATGCTTCCTTGGATAGCTTCAATCCTTAGCGTTTGAAAAGGCGTTTGAATCGACTAACGTAATTCCTAACAACCAGTGCCACATTAAAATTGAGAAGTAGTTATGACATTTGTAGATAGATTTCTCTCTTGGGTACCAATACCATGCCCATCGAAATGCAGCCCTTTATGCCGTACTTTGTTACTTGAAGGGCAAACCTGACAATGCTACTCATAAACTGGTGATTTATATGGTGTCAACAAATTACTACTTAAAAGATTTACCTACAGAGCATACGAAATTTAGCTAAAATTACTTCCGAATCTATGTACAAGCTGCTTTATTTGATAAAAACTTGCAGAAAAATATCCATTTGGCCAATCCGCCTGGTACTTAACAGTAAGGGGTGAGATTTTATTAATTAATTTAAACAAGAAACGGTCCCAAAACTTGATGCTTATCAATGAACAGGAGATAATTTGCTTGAATCCTGCAATCTGATTGGTTTACACATGAATTTCTCATTGGTTTCTCACCCACCCAATCAATTTAGAGATTTCGATTTTTTGGCTTACCGATAATTAAAATAACGACAAAAACAACCTAAGTGTGAACTAACCTTTCAACTTCAAATCACACGAGGAGTCACTATTTACAGCCAGGAGTGTCGATACAGATCCGAAAGGTTCAGAGCCTCCTCGATCCCACTGATATTGATGATGATGCTTGTCGATGATGTCAAATGGCGTTTCTACTGGCAGTATTTGTATCTATTGTCCGCTACCCTCTCAAATGTGCTGACTCACACCGACCCACTCCAGGATCGCCTTTGTCTTCTACTTTTCGTCGTCTTCCCGAAGACTCTTGTCCTCGAAATGCTCTTCCCTTGAAGACCCACCTCTATAACTGGCCCCAACAACACCAGAACACGTGCGTGGGTGTCTGTGTGTCTGTATGTATATGTGTGTATGGATGCGTGCTACTCCACCAGCCAATCACGAGGCGATATACAGCAGTGTTGCGCGCTATCGATTCGACGCTACCTTTGGAGACACATGCGCACAGACCTTCTTAAACCAATCAGGTGCGGGTCTGGTGCGTGGGTGACTGGGAGCGATGGGGGTGGGAAAATTTGGCGTCTGATGGAGATTCTTGAGTGATACCTAAAACAATGTTTGGGGTTTTTGTAGGTTATTGTTTACTGTCTTGCGACTTTTACGGTATGTCAATTGCCTGTCTTAACCCGGTCCCTACTAGTGTCACAAAGCCGGAAATCGAGGAGATATACCCACCAACTTGTGCAATAAGGGTTTATTTTCTTTTTTATTACCGGCGCAACTCTAAGTGGAGGAATTTATGTTCCTTATAATAGATGATACTCCACTGGAACACTGCTAATCCACCGAACTGTTGTAAGTTGAAGGCGTTTATAAACCGACAAGTTACTGTTTAGGTACATCAGCCTGGCAGTCTCCCCTTCATAGCTTACAGTGTTAAAACCGTCCAACCTAATCTACTCCACGATCCTCAATTTATACTAATTCCTAAGCTCTCATTCTGCAGCCTTTTTAGAGATAAAAAGATTCATTCCATCTTTTATTTTGTCTACTTTACTTCACATATGATCATGTGATTTGTTAAAGACAGGAAAAGGAAACATTCAGTTTGCGGGGAAATATGGTAAATTGCGGTGAGATAGTAGTTCTCTTTACTGCTAAAGGAGGGAAAGCTCTTCTTCCAAAAAGGACTGTCTTCTTCTCTATCAACCCATCGTCGAGTTGTCTCTGAATGCATCAAGACAAGAAATACACAGGGCATCCATGGTCTTGAGGGAGTGAGTTGACGATGCATTCCGTGGTAGCGTACTCCACCTTCTTCACATGTCTGCAATCAGCACTACCTGTCGATCCCACAGCTTTGGATTGTGCGGAGCAGACAGACTGGGATTGCATCGACAATGAAGGGCACGAGATACTAAAAAAACGAGGGGAATATTAGAGACCGCCCCACTGAGGGATTGACGCAGCTAAACAACTGCATACCTACAGCTCACATCAAATTTGGTGGATGTATTAGAAGGAGCTATTTCATTGGTTAGTGAAAAAAAAAAACCAATAGAGGCAAAATTTGAATACTTATAAGGAAAATTATTTCATTTTGACATTTTTTGTGGAAAATTTATAAAGAAATTCGTTAACGTTGGTTAATAAAGGGCATTCAGATCATTTAAAATGAATCTGGTCGACATTGTTTGCACACGCTATATTTGACAGTTGCATCAGCGTAGATTCCAATCACAAATACCTGCCAATTTATTTTATGGTAAAAGTTCATGAGGTTTATGACACAACATGGGTAAAATTACCTGTCAAAACACAAGAGATAGTATTTTTGTTTATGTACCAAGCGACAAAAGCGTGAATGCGTCCGTCTGTCAACTACTTGACTTCAATCTTTCTAATTTTTACTGTCTTCGCCTATTTTGAAGGGTTATAAATCAGCTGTGAAGCTACAAGCGCCTCTCGATATAGCCGACGCAGTAGTGGCTCTTACCATCCATCCGAAAGTCCACAAGAAAGTTTACCACGGCTGCTGGAAGAAAGTCTTCCACAGAGCTTTTAGTAGGCTTATATACAGGACAAATCTTAACCGCAAAGGCAGTGTTGTTCAGACAAAAGGTGCTTTTTGCCGACCGAGTGATTTGTGATGGGAAAAGGCTTTTTTGGGTTATGAATTTTACTAGATGAACCAACTAATCATTTCTCGGTCTCTGAAAACAATCATTTTACTACCCGCCGCTTAACCTAAATAAGCGAACCACCTCATTTCAGCAGGACTGTGGGATTGTAAAGGGTCCATTTCTCAGGGCAGTGAATGGCATGCAGTTACTAAAAAGAACATTTAGGGAGGTAAACAATGATATACTGGTTTGCAGGAGCCATTTCTCATCACAAATTAGTCAGTCTATCAATCTAGAAAGCAGGAAAGGAGAAAAAGTTGCTAGTTCTTAAAGCTTGTAGTTCGTCATCTATAGGCAGTACTTGGAAAGACAGCTCTTACAAGATTCTGTGAGTTGATGTAAATGCCATCAGACGTTTTATACGCCAGCGTACACCATGTCTACTCAAGATGCCCTGCAAAAGATATTATGAGAAACACCGCTTGATTTGCCAAGTACACAAGCTTGAACGACACCTCCATCAAGTTCTAACCGGCCTTTCTAGATATGAAGGTCTGCTGAAAATTGGATTTGGCCTAGCCGACCCATTCAGGAGCATCTCCTGGATGGATGCTTAGCTCTTTATAACTGCCATACGTAGACATTTTTACGTGTTTCACGAGTCTCCACAAGCACGAAGAAACTGTTCCAGGCAGATATACAAAAAGTGTGCAAAAAATTTCCCGTAGCGGTTAAGCTAAGGGATAGTAGATCCAGTTCGAACAACAAAGAGGAGTGCCCTCAAATTACCGTTAAGTTCACTCAGACGTCTAGGCGGGTAGTTACTTGCCTAGTCTACGAGTCTTACAAACTGCATTCTACTGGAAAATCTTATTTCAGTTGTCATCTTTAAATTCATTTTCATGACCCTTGCGGGAATCGGCAGTGGGTAGTAGGATAGAAAAAGAGCACTCTTACGAATGGAAGGAGGTGTGTGGACACAAAACTGGCTGATTTCCCAAATGCTACCTGATCCGCTAGTGTTGACTGTTTCTAAGGCTAAGTGCACCCAACAACTGCAGTTTGGTCCTGTCTGCCTTACGACCTAAATTTGACTCGATCCCAAAGCTGGCGAAGGTCACAAGGCATAATTATCAGATGAGATCTGCCTGCTCGATGCAACATGAGTATTAAGGTGCATGACCTTCGATCCTTTCAAACACATTATGAAGGCTTTAACACCGACCTCTGCGAGTAGGCTGGAGTTACAGCTCGAGGCCTTCACCTGTTTTCAATACTGACCGATGAAGGGGAGAGAGAAGAGACAAAAATGACGAATCAGATGGTCATGAAAGATTTTACTTCAATGATCAGCTGTAAAAAATGTCGAAGATGTTCGTCGGGCTATCCACACCTAAAATTTTGCTTTTGTTGGCAATTTTTCAATTTCTCCGAACCCTCCTATCGTGAATTGTGTGGCTAACACCTGAGGCAGAGTCGCTTCCAAATTTCCAGGTGAATACACCTGGTGGATGTTTAATAAGGCCTCTCCTCCTCTTTAGCCCTCACGCCTAGTCTAAAGACATTTCCCGCCACATTTTGTATAGAATGCTTGTGGAAAATGTGATTCCTCGTATTGAAATGCAGGACCCAATTCAATCTGTGTGTCCAATGCATTTAAAAGTATATATATCACCTAAAGAAGGCCTCCTAAAAGCGATTTTGAAGGATAAATTATGTGGCACTTTCAACAGGTTACTACAACCGGAGTGAAGAAGGCCTAAGGTACTTTAAAGCCTACGTGGTTACGCAGAACATTTAAACAAGCTGCGTCCCTGGCAAGCCCTCCTAACAAATTAGCTAAGATTGGCCTAAACTTAGAATGCTTTACAGATCTAATATGACAAAGATTGTCAGTGGTTACGTAAATCTATTCAATCTACTATTCAAACGCCAAACTATCAGGCTACCCTCTGCTACTATAGGAAATATCCTCATCTCTTTTACTGCCTCAGGAGCAACAAATATGCTTGTCCTACACAGTTCGGTGTAATTGCAGGCTAGAGCAAAAATTGACAAAGAAAACCTACCACACGTCCGCAGTATGGAGGTCGGGGCTAATAAGAGGTGTGTCACATATAAGTGACATTGCTTAAAAGTGTTACAGGCAGCAGTCTTCATGTATCACAGCTAAAAAGCCAAAAGCTTACCCCATTTTAACAATCCTCGTGATCTCTTATATCACTACATTAGGCAAATTTGGTAATGTTCCTCTAACAAGCTACCGCGGGCATTTCACCAGAAGCATGGTTTACCACTTTGCTGGCCGAAGAAAAGTAAAGTTCTCATGTCATGCCTTTAAAATATGATGGTTCATTGGCACTTTGCCTGTTACATTTAAACGATTTATGGAAAAGGAACGTGGGAACTGGAATGGCGCTTCTACGAAGGGGGAGGGGAGATATGTACCCATAACCATGGCAGTGTTGTGGATGGGTGAGTCCCAATTCGCCTAAACCATCCATATTCCAAATCGACAGCCATAATGTGCCGCAACTCGGGGCCTCTTTCCGCATTGCTACATCACTCTTTTCTCAATCGAAAAGACTTGAGAAGCCGAAGGGTTAAGAGGAAGAGAGGAAGTTAGAGTAAGTCCCCTCTGCAGGTTTATCTCGGATAATGGCGCCCCAAAGTAAATTCCATGCTAACATGTTTGGATGATTAGACCACGAGCGAAAGTCCACCACTCCACCAAAATTTTTCTTAATGTTAGGGACAAAGGTGAACTTTCCTTTCCAGCTGAAATTCGGAACAGTATATCCCACGCAATGATTGAAGCGGATGATTTACAGAGGCCAAATAAAAGGTCAACTTTTGTCGTCCCTGTCCAATGCAATGCGGCTCTGCATTCTGCATCCTGCCTTCAGGGTTAACAGTTTTTAATTGTCAATTGTCGACAGCACCGCCACTTCCAGAGCCAATGCAATTCCAGGAGAGTCGAGAGGACGAATTTTTTTTCCTGCTCTCGATTTGACTAGCTGTGGGCTTGAATTCAAGTGTGCTGAGGAGGTGGTGGCGTTGTGTGGGTGTTCGTGGAGGGTTGGAAGCGGGATCAGGTTGGGCTTAATGTAGATGTAAGTGCAGACACAAAAATTATCTAATGGCAAAAAAACAATCATTTGTCTGCTTCTGCCTCTCTTGTGGCACCACGAATCTTGCCAATGAGATGCGTTTTAGTTCATGCGTAGGTGAGGTTTAAGGAAAGAGAAAATAATGGAATTGTATTTCCTTCCCTCTTTTAATTTTTTGTTTTTACTTTTTCTTTGCTTTATTCTCATTCCTTCCTTTCGCCTCTTGATCAATTCTAAACTCTATGGTGCTACATCTACCAGAGACAGCTATCAGTCCACTGCACACGCTTTGCAGTAAGACTTGTTTAGCATTGGCCTCTCAGCTGGTATTCAGCAGATTTCGGTCAACGTAGAGGCTGGCGAATTTGTCAGCCTGATATCAAAATTTAAGGAAAATCATTAAAGATGGAGTGTAAATGTACTCCAACTACCCATTTAGCGTGGCTGATTTCTTGAGAAGTGACTCTCAATTCTTGAATGTATTTTAATGCCAATGCCAAATTCGCTCAATTTTTGTCCGATTCTACCCAATGGGTGCTGACATTCTATTACAGCTGGCAATATGGTTGCTAATTGTGGACATATGTTAATATCCCATGCAGATGCCCCCAAACCCCTCATGACAATACCAAGCGCGAGAAGTACGCGACAGTTCACATACCAATGCAAATATTCGTGCCGTTACACAA